CTCAAAGGTATTAGCAATGCACAGGCGTCTTTTGTATGCCAAAAGGTGGGGGAGTAAATCCTCATTCCACAACAATTTCAAGAAATACTCATTTGGAGCATTTCCCCTCAAGGTTTGATGTTTTATCTGCAAGTTGTGGTTATCTGTCCTGAAAACTAGCCAAAACAACAAACGTGATTTAGTTAGGTCGGGCTGACTTGAACCCCATTTCACAACAGGGAAAAATAGTAGTTCCCCTCCTTCTGTGGTAATTGCAGCTTGTGTTAGTGTAAAGATGGCTCTGGTGTTGGGATGTTGGCCGTGTTGCTTTGTTGTAAACTCTCACAGTACTGTGTGAATCATGTTGTCACATCCATTTTGAATGTCACTTATCACTGAGAGTGAACATGACATTACTTTCTTGACAGTTCACCTTAGTGTTACTTGATATTGAACTAAAAATATGAACAATCATATTTGGTAATTTAATAAAATAAAATTAAAAAGATTAGATTAGATTAGATGAAAAACATAAATTAAAAAAAAATAAACTGAATAACTAAAATATTTTTAAGTTGAAGTACTATTATTAAAAATAAAATTACAATAAATGAAAGCTATACATAAAAATAAAATAAATGACTAAAGCACACAACAGAATCACTAAAACTTAGTATGGTATATTTAAATAATACTAAAATAATTTGCCAAAAACAAAGCTCTGAGGGATCGATGTCCACATCTGTTCCAATGGCACATATAATTTTCACAACACAATTTCAGGGTTTTTTTTTCCCACCAGGATTTTCCTTTGTGTCAGTTAAATGTGACCGCTCTTTAAATAGTGTACTTTCATCCTTCAGCCTTGTTTTAATTCATGGAAATTAAATATGGTGTCTTTTGTAAGGCCATTTGTCAAAGACAATTCAGTATGCAAATAAATGCATGAATGAATTGCAGTTTAGCATGCAAATATTCAAACACGCATCATTTCTGTCAGTTATATTTTAAATGGCAAATATTAACTATGTGTACTGCTGCATGTACACTTTCTTTTTTGTAGAAATCTTATTTGGTTTCTCTAGAATAGATTGAATGTCTCTCAGTCTGGTCTATTGAGGAAAATTGTTTATTTTTCAAATAAGAAGCTGAATGATGATTCTCCATGGCTCATATCCACCTGAAATGATGGTTGTTGAAGCAATGGTGTTGATGACACTCATGCTGGCATGTGGAGGTTTCCACATATGTCTTATTAGGCAGACAAGGGAAGCCCATTACTCGGTTTCTTTTGGCAATGGCATGTTGATGTGGTGGCCAGAGCGATTTATAGTGGCGGGCGGCCTGAAATAATCCCCCGGAGAATTTATGACTCCTGACTCAGTGGGTCCGGCCTGTGATTGAGTGTGAGTGTGCGTGTAATATGTGTGGGTGGTGGGTCTTGCTGGTCAAACCCCTAGCAGGGTCACAGTGCATGGCCTCTCTCAGAGGAGTGGCTGTTAACCTTTAACCCTGGTGGTTAAGCCTGCTGGCTAGCAGCGTGGGGTTATGGAGGCTGAAGTCTGTCTGGGGCCGTGGCCTAGTAAGAAGGAGAGAGGGGAACGGGGGGTGTCAGGACTAATCTGGGTTTTGTCCACAGGGCAATTTCCATCCCTTCATCCGTCAGAAAAACAGAATGTTCTTGGGCCTCCAGAACAGCAACAGGAAGTGACTTATTTGGAGACAGCAATAACAAATCCCTCTTCCAGATTTATAGTCAGGTGGTGTACTCCTAAGGATCACATGTGAATGGAAATGGATCTTATTTCTGTCAAAAAGTTTGGCCTTGCGTTAAAGCAACATGAAATCGCAGAAGCCTCCCTTATGCGTGTGATGGATTTCTGCCCAGATTAGCTTTTGCAGGGATATTGAATTGGCCCCTTAAAAGATAGACATATTGATTATATGTTTCAATGGGCCAATATTTCTTTTGGTGCTGCAGAAATTACAGAAATGTAATGTTTTATAGTATGTATAAAATTGCGACACATTGTAACACGTTGAATTAAACCTGAAATTGCTTTAAAAAAATCTTCACTAAATTCCCTTCATTGGTTTTGTTTTGATTAGTTAATGGGCTCTATTGAAATGGTCAAAGATTCAGAATTGTTTTCCCTGTTCAGTAATTTGTAAGACCTTTAAATTTGGCTCTATTTTCAATGTTTTCTCTAGAATATTTGCTTTGCTTTTTCAGGTTAGGTTCTCTCTCTCTCCAAATGCCTGTATACAAAGAGCTGTCTGTTGAGCTGAGATATGATGTACTGGTCTTGTATGTACCTGATGCAAAGTGTGTGAAAGCGAGTGTGATTTGGAAGGGGTCCCAGTGTAGTTGAGGGGTACAGCTGGTCTGGGGCTGCGACAGGGTGAAGGTGCTGCTCTTTCTCAGCTTTAGACTCATTTCTGAGACTCCTTATGTGTATGAAGCTGTAATTTTTGTTTATAGTTTTCAATTCTGATGGAATAAATCCCTTTGAAATCTGCACCAAGAAAAAAGTGATGGAATTTTTTTTTGTTTGCATTTCTTATCTTATGTCGGTAGTAACCCCATTAAATGTATTTTTTTCAACACATCCCATAATTTTTTAAATATCGGCCTCTACCAAATGCTTGAGATGTCACTTAATGGTAATAAACGGTACCGAAATTCATACACGTACTTAGCCATACTTTTTCATTGCCCATGGTCAAAACCTTTTCTAATCTTGACAAAACACATTGTCAGAAAGTCTCAAGGTTCCATATTTTGCAACAGAAGTGATATTTGGACAGAAATTTATGAATTTGTTACAGCAGAATGCATACAATTAAATTCAATGTAATTTATGTCCTTTTTTGTATTACACCTAAACAAAATCTAATGAGAACTTCAATTTTTTGTGATATCAACTTCAAATTTGGAACACAAGTTGGTTAGATATATGGCTTTGATTTTATATTAATTTTATAGATTTTTTAAATATTAATAGTAACCAAAAACTGTTCACATGGTTGGGGTGATTTATTCATTTCTGACATCCATGTTAGAAGAAGTGTTGTGACAAGTGCTGTTGATTGACACTGTGAAATCTAGTGGATTTTTTTTTATTTATTTTTTTTTAATTATTATTATTATTTTTTTTATAATATACCTCAGCCAGATGATAGATATGGCTTGAGTTAAGTTAGGTACTCCTCTCAATAAAATATAGTGACTCAAAATGTGCTCAACTGTTTGGTTGAGAAGTCAGTTAAGTAATGACACCCCAGTCAATACCAGTTTTATTATGATCATAGATTGGCCTCTTTGTTAAAAAGCGAGCCATTGGGATGCATGTTAAGTGCAACTGCATATAGAGTGTGACTCCTTCCTGCACAGCCTGTGTAAAACAAGCCCTGGCAGTGTTCAGTGACAATTCCTCTTGGATATTTTGCGAGATGGTGATTATTTGTAAGCTCTCAACAGCTACTCTCTTTTCACCCACGCCGATGTGTTCAGCAGATGTTACGATACGAGTCGTGCCACAGATATTGTGCACATGACAGAATGCACTGCGCCCGTTTACAGACACCGAGCAAGTTTGTCAATCCTACAGGTGTAGCAAACATTATAACTTGGGATGGTGGGGGAGGGGGGTCTAATTTAATCTCTGACAGGAACATGATGGCCTTCAAAATCGTATGAATTTCGCAGAATAAAAATGACATTCATGGAGATGAATGTATAAGCATATTGAGGAATGGAGAGCAGGGGTCTCTCAGTCGAGAGTGGCTAGTCCTGCTGAACAGCAGCAGGGGTAGCCAAACCGCCGGTCGGAGTCCAGTCCACTGAAAGGACCCTTGTGTTCTCATGAATTCCAGCAACCACATTAAAAAAAGAAAGAAAAACAAAACATTATTGCAGCTGCGACTTCACAGTCCGCCCTGCTCGCACTCCCCATGTTAATGTGACGCCTTGTTTAATCCAGCCGCTCGCTGTCCATCTGTGCCGTTCACTTGTCGACCGCGGTGCAGACTTGTTCTCTGATGGGGTGAATCGCGAAGAAAGCCCGGGTTCCCTCAGAACTACTGAAACTTGTGTCCACAGGGTCTTGAATATTCAGTTTTTGCCTTTCATCTAGGATGCCTGTGGCTTGTCAGCTCACTTTATTCTGTATGCACATTGCCTTCAGTTCTGTCCTTTGTTTGATTTGTATCAGAAATTAGGTTTTCAGATTTCGGGTTGCCAAGGTAAATGAAAGGACTTGCTTCTAGCATTTGAGATTCAAAAGTTTTTATTGGCATTGTAAAACAGCTTTATGTTGTTAAAGCATTATATTGCATTATACAGTAGGTTCCAACAATCTGAGACCGTTACTGAAAATGCCTCTATTTAAAAATGACATTGCATAGCAGTTATTCAGATCTCAAAGAATAAAAAGGTAAAAATAAACATTTAATTAAATAATTTAATAACAATAATAATAGTTTTAATAATTTTAATTTATACTTTATAACTTAATCATAAAGGTAAACATAAAAACAATAGTTTGTAAAATTGTTAAAGGGATACTCCACTTTTTTTTTTGGAAAAAGGCTCATTTTACAACTCCCCCAGAGTTAAACAGTTGAGTTTCACCGTTTTTGAATGTATTCAGCTGATTTTCTGACAGTTTCTGGTCTCATTGACTTCCATGTAGTATATTTTTTTCTACTATGAAAGTCAATGAGACCAGAAACTGTCTGGTTACTGATATTCTTCTAAATATCAGAAAATCGGCTGCATGGATTCGAAAACGGTAAAACTCAACTTTTTATCTCTGAGGGAGTGGTAAAATGAGCCTATTTCCAAAAAAAAAGTGGAGTATCCCTTTAACACTTAAATACACTTTAATAAACTTTTCTTTCTTTCTTTCTTTATTTTAACATTCCACCATGTCCTTTTCCAGCTCATGTTCTTATCCCTCTGGTTGCATTTTTGTCATGGCAGAACTTTACATTAATTTTCTCTCTGTCTGTGATTTCAGGGGACCATCTGAAGGTTTGTCCTCAAGGTTTCTCCTGCTGTACTCTGGAGATGGAGGAGAAGTTAAGTCAGCAGAGCCGCACGGACCTGAAAGCCCCCGTTCATCAACTCAGCTCCAATCTACAAAACACCTTCACCCAGAGACACAATCACTTTGACCGTCAGTACAGCTCTTACGAATCTAACCAATCAGAATGTTTTGTTTGTCATTTAAAACAAGTTTTGCAAAATTGTTGGTTCATCAGTTCAGTTGTTGATCCCCCTCCATACACTGCTACAGTGAGTTTGACAGACACCCCCGGCTGCCAGACTCACAGTCTATATGTCCATCTCTCCACCTGTCCCTCAACATCCCACAGTCATCTGCCACACACACACACACACACACTCTCTCAGCCTTGCAGACAGACCACACACACATGTAGAGGCCTGGCTTCCCCTCTGCAATGCATATGTGGCAGTGAATTTCAGGCTGAGGGATTAGGTTTCTCTAGTGCAGGGCAGAGGGGTGCATGGGAACATGCATGGACACTGCTGACTCATTCAGGAGGGGAAAACCCCGCAGATACTCTGCTGGCACACACACAATCTGGCCTGCTTTATAATGCATGTTTTATGTCTTCTCTTCATGCCGTAAAATGTCATGTCATAAAAAGCGTGTCAAATAGGGAAAAGTGAGACAAACCTGGTCACATGCATCCGGATCAGCCCAGCTTGAGTTCATCAAGGGATATTTTGAATGCAAAACATCCCTTTGGGTTGCTGAAAGAGATTTAAATGAGCCAGGACTATAACGGGCTCAGATGAAATGGTGAGATGGTGTTTGGATTGATGGTCAGAGACTAGACAGTCAAAGAAGGATAAATGAAGTGCTGATGGCACATCTCCCTCCAGTCACACATGATTCAGCACCCATCCGCTCTCAGCCACAGCTATTTGTAAATGAGACCCATGTTAACTCGCATGTGGCCATCCAGCTTTGCCAAAGCTCTGTTACGCTGTCAGAGCAGCCGAGCGTTTTTTTTGAGAGCTTGAGGTGTGTTATGATCATGTTTTTTGAGGCATACTATTGACATCTGATGATAACGTGAGTGTTTGTACATATACTAGTGTTGTCACAATAGGAAAAATTCAATAGTCAAACCCAATAACAGTGAAACTAATTATTCTCTCTATTAATTCCAGCACCACAGCAAATACAAATATGCTACTAAACACTTATTCCACTTGTGTTTTTAAAAATAAAAGGTTTTTTTTAATGATGTTTAATTAATATAATAAAATAATCATTTGACTTTTATTTAAAATATATAAAATGCTGTATTTTTGTCTATGTTTAATATTAATAATATTATTAATAAAAATAATTGTTTTTGTTATATCAAAGATTATTATTGATAAAAATAGCATATTTATTTTTGCTATGTAAAAGTTGTTTTTATTTTATTTTGTTGTTGTTAATGTTTAATAATAATAATAGACTGGTTCATAAGGCATGTATTAATATTTACATTCATTATAGCATCTTGGTAGTGAAGTAACATCTTTTACAGAGGAAGGGAACAGAATCTGAGGTGATGTTTGCAGGGAACATTGATGGAAGTGAAAGGTGACTTGGTCTGCTCTCAAGATTGGCTGTTTGTGTGAATGTAAAAAGAAAGTGAGACTTCAGGGAGTGAATGGTAACAGGGATGGTGTGTATTGCAGCCAGATGTGAGCAGGAATGTGACGTGTCGGAATGCGGCGGTGGCCAGATCCCGCCCGCCTCCTCTGCTCTTTTTCTCTGCTGCCTTTTGTCCCCGTTCTCCCCCTTTTTTTTCTCTGCCATAAGTCTGTTATGCCTTTCATTTCTCCTCCATCTCCAGATTCTCAGGTCTTTTGAACTTTTACCGTGGGAATACGCTCTGAATCGCCAGTCTGCGTTAAATGTGCACTAGACCCTGGCATGTGACTTAATGAGCTAAACGGCCTTAAAATACCAGTAGCTTTTATGCTTGCAAACAAAGACATTCTCAATGAGTTCTTTCATTGTGAAGCATAAGTATTTTCTTCACTATTGAAATGTCTAAGGTGTAAATGAGATGCTTGAGTCTCTTTGAGAGTTTATAAAAGTTTTTTGCCACGGAAGATTTTCATTTTGACAGACGGTTCTGTCTCTGTGCTGGACAGGCCTACAGGATGCAGACGTGACTGTATTTATAGTAGTTGGAGATGATAATGAAGGCTAAATGACTACACACAACTTGTTGAGCAGGAAATACTCTAGAACATGTTCACTATCAACACAGTGGTTAGATGTCATTAAGATGAAATGAATTTAAGCGCGCACACTCTTAAGTGAGTTTGGTTGGGTTGGAGGCGGGTTGGAAGCCTCGAGGATGGAGTCATGGGCAATTAAGTCCCCTACCAGAAATAGTTCTCCCTCCAGAGCTTGGTGTGTTTGTTTCTCCCAGTGCGTCCGGTCTGGTTCTAGGTGACCCTGTCTGGCGGATCTCCGACTTCACTGCAAGAATCAGGATTAACCCCCTACCAAATTCTCATCCTCTACAGCTCCGCAGGGGGGTTTGAAGTCCCACAGGGAAAGAAAGAAGCTGAGCAACTAATTGGCACAAATGGGGAACAATTACTGCCTGGGATAAAGAGTAGTTATCAAAGGGGGATGAGTAGAGGAGTAAGCTAGTGTGGAGGGTGGGACAGTGAATAAGTCTGGAATTTTCCCTCCTTTGGATGTCTGAGGAACATGTTTGAGCACTCAAGAGTTTTGGGACCTTTGTGAGGCATTTGTTGAAGTGTGAGTCTAAACACCCCTTTTCCATTCCTCCTCATAGATAGTGTAACATGGTTCTGTAGTTCTCCCAGCAACACCCTCCCGTAACCTTTCACTCGCATTTCTACTCCGATGCAGAAAGGTCTTTTGAATGGAAAAATCAGAAGGGAGGTCCACAGCCTGCTTGTTGGCAGACTCCCATGTAACATAAAGTCTCTTTTAATGACGAAGTAGGACGCCTGAGTAATGCCCCTCCAACTGTAACGCTTACTACACTGGGTCCCAAAATCTCAGCAGTTAAGCTGGGAAGGATGTAAAGAGGAAGAGGCGTGGGGGAAGGTGGATGTTGAGTGACTTACTTTGCTTTATAAACAACTGTTAATGGGTCAGTGACGAGTGTCCATGATAAAAGAAAATATCTTTTACAATTTTTTTTTAAATGCTGTTTTGAGACATGCACTCTTTCTATTTATGTTAGCTCATATGGTTTTCATATTGGATTTTTTTTCCATAAAAAGCGATAACATCTATGTATCCCTTAAGGGGAGACGCGGCAGGCCGAAACAGTTTTTTTTTTGTCAACCAATCGTGAAAGTACAATGGGGCATTTAACTCTAAAAGCGAAATCTCATTGGCTGATGTCAATTTTTGAAAACATGATTTGTTCAGATGCATCTCGAGTTGTGCTGACATTTCTGCGGGAGTTCAAAAATCATCTCGGAGAAGACAAAAACAGTCTGACTGTCTGTGTCCTCCAAGCACACATATCAGGCTTCATATCGAGCAGGCATGGGAAATTAGACGGCATACAGGCCTGGGTGGCAATTCTACATGGAATTGTGTACACTGTTTTATACTGGGGTTATGTTCAAGGCCATATATGCTGTGTTAAAAGTTTTGATGTGTTTTAGGTGGTTTGTATTGTTGTTGCTAATGATTTGATAAGCTAGTATTTTGTCTGTAAATAGTTGTTTCCACTAAAAAAGTATGAATTTTTACAATACAATTCTTTAAAGCCCGTTTTCTCAAAATGTTTTTTCCCTCTCATACTCTGTCTGAGCTAGAAATCTCCACTTCAGCAGCACTTACATACACCAAACTTTCCAGTTGTATTCCTATCTATGTTCTTAAGTTTTTTTACTGAGGGGTTTGTTCCTATATCAGGGTGAAAATGGATTTGTTTTATGGCTGTTGACAGTTTTTTTCTGAATAATGGAGTGATAAAAAAGAGATCATCTCTTTCAAACTCTGTAAAATGAAAATCACAAAATCATCCAAGAAATTAAGAAATTCATTCCACTTGACGGCGATTTAACACGTGTTTCCAAGTGGTTCATGTACATTTTTTATTTGGCAATGACACAATGACGTGCAGACCTGGAAAATATTCTCCTCCTCATCATCACCTCTCCCCCTCCCCACCCCCGACTTTAAACTTGTGACAGCCCTGGCATTCCTTTGGATCTGGAGGAAGGCGGGTGCGGTGGCCCTTAAGGTTTAATCTCTGTCAATGGAGCGTGGAGCTGGGTGCCTTCTATCTCTCTCCCTGTGTGGGGCCAGGGGCCGAGGGCCACTCGTGGGAGGGGAGCTAAATGCGAGGGCTGCGGTGTTTCCGGTATCCGTGGTTACACAGCAGGATGGGGGCATTTAGAAAAGCCCTTGAATACACTCGCATTCCCCTGTCCGTCTCTCACATGAACACACACCTCTCATCATTCAGCTGACTTTGTGTTCGCTCAAAGTGGAATTGACAGCTGCACAGTAAGTTTTGTTTGTTTATAAACCCGAGGTGTCTTGTTTGTGTCGATGAAGCCCATGGGTTGTGAAAGGCGGTTTTACGAGAACACCATACAACGCTTTCAGATTCATGGCCACTTAACACTTCAAAGTCTCACTCATTATGCACTGGTCATCTGTGCTGTGGGCTGGCAGGCTTTTAGCGGGAGGAGAGAGGTGATACAAAGGCAAAAAAACAAATGGCGCGCTTTGTGAGGCGAGCGTGTGTGAGCGCGGGAAGAGATGTGAAGCATTTCTATGGAATTCTCATTTTGTTCAGATTAAGAAAGTAGGGTTTGCTGGGCCGGGAGAGAGAGTTTCATGGGAGAGCGGGGCTGGATTATTTGGGGAGGCTGGGAGGGAAGGGGGGGGCCTGACATTCCACAGGATGAAGTAGGGCATTGTTCCCCGTCTCCAATGAAGAGAGCCTTCAGAAGCCACTGATGAACTGAAAGCAGGAGAGAGTCAGTGAGAGTGAGGGGTTTCAGGGGGGTACAGGTCCGTTTTCGGGGAGGGGAGTCGGCATTATTCAGTAATCCTATTGAGAAGCCTTCTGAAGGAAGGAGCGGGAGCGGTGCGGAGAGAAAGAAAAGCGAATGGAATGTGACAACAGGAAAATGCCATTGATAGCGGTCAGCCTCAGCCGGCTTGATGGGCGAGACGTTACCTATTGGAACCACGAGCTGCCCTTCATCCTTTCTGCGCTCTCAGCTCTTTCTCCTTAAACACAAAAGTTATTTTCCTGGAACGTAGCGAGTGAAAACCTTGCATTGGGTCAAATGGAATATGCATTAATCTGTTTAGATAATAAGCGTATGCTTTTCAGGCCTCCCTGGCAGATCTGGGAGGTTTTCCAGTCAGTGAGAGCGAGTTAGGCAGAGGGCTCTGCGGAGCACTAAATCGCTGTCTCTCGAGTGTCATTGTAATGACAAAGTCATGGACATATTGCCAGCTGAAGTTCCAAAGTTAATAACAATTCATTTTATACGCGTTGAAGTTGACGGTCTGTGTGCTTTTTCTAAAGTGAAGTCTTTCTGCTCGCTCACTCTGTTCCATGTTACGTGTGCGCTCAAAATCAAACCTGTCATGTTAAGGGCCAGTAAGTGCACATTCTTTTAAAGATGAGATGAAGAGATATCATTTTCTATTTTGGATTCTATTTCTTATGCAAGAGTACTTTAAAGATACTCATTTTCAAAAGTTTCTTAATCTACAATTAATGAATGTCAAAGCAGTAGGTCACTCAAAAATGAGAATTGCTGTCATTTACTCCCTGCCATGTTGCTCCAGTTATTAAGTCCTTATCGAGATGTTTTTTGACAGTTTATTGTTGCCACATCTGTGTACAAGTATTCACTTTATAGCCCTTAATCCTGTAATTTTGGACAAATGTGGGCACAGAGGACTCAGGTGTGATCCTAATTATTTATTTATTATAAATGTTATATCACTGTCTTCGATAAAGTTTTGTCTCTCCATTTATGGTGTTTTTTTTATGGTGAATGTATTTACTTCAAAAAGTACCATATTTTCTATGTAAAGGTAAATTATGCTTATTTTTATGTTTTATTTTTTAACTACTTTAAAATGTCATTCCAACAAGTTATTAGAGCTAAAACCTAAAGATGAAGTGACTTTGCTGTCATCTGGTGTCTTATTTTGGCTTATTTTAGAATGCTCTAAATTACAGTTTTTCCCATTCATTTCTAGGGGTGCCCATTTTTGACCCAAATACAAGATTAAGGAGGTTTTTTTTCACCCACTTAACATTGTAAAATTGAGTCCAAAAAAAGTGTGTGTTCAGGAGGCAAACTTAGGAAAAGTAGCCAAATCAAGGGAAGAATTTTTTAACAATAAATCAAAACTGTTTTGCCCACATTTGTCCAGAATACGGTTTTAGGGTTAAAAAATCACCATGAAAGGACTGTAATTGTAGTCTGGATGATATTGCCTTTATTCCAAGTTATCTGAAGACATACAGTAGTACATTAACTTGATTAAACTGTAAAAAGTGATGAGAAAAAAAATGATCCCTTAGAAGTAAGTAATAAACTTAGAAGTAAGTGTGATTGAGAAAATTATGTTATGTGAATTTAACAATTCCACATAAAACTTTTTTAATTTTTTTCAATTATGCAAAGTTTATTTACTTAATTTTATGGCAACAGGTTTCCTCACTTTTTTTAAAGTTAAGTCAACTGATCACTTCTTTACAGTGTAACTGACAGGTTGAACTTCATCCATCGTTATTGGTTTTTGAGCATCTCATAACCAAAAATCATGATGTCAAACATGCACCATATTTTATTTGAGTTGCAGTTGAAATTAACAGTGAAAAATAACTGTCAATCTGTTCCTCTCATAAAGCGATCAAATGGCTGCAGAAGACTTAAAACGTCTTCTGTCTTCTTTTTTGTACATTTTATGTGCTTTAATTTGTTCTTTTTGGAGTTAAACAGTCTGTGGTGATTTAAAAAAAAAACTGATGTGATGATTCTTTAAAAAAACTTGTGCAAAACTTCAATTTTGCAATTTTGCTGCATTTAAAACTAACCAACTCTCTTGATATTTTTCTTTTTTTCTCAGAGTTCTTCAGAGAGCTGTTGAGCAATGCAGAGAAATCTCTCAACGACATGTTTGTGCGGACCTACGGCTTGATGTACGTGAAGAACGCAGAGCTCTTCGAGCAATTCTTCCGTGATCTACAGCGCTACTACAGCCACGGGAGCAGCGCTGTCAACCTGGACGACATGCTTGCGGACTTCTGGACGGAGCTTCTGGAGCGCATGTTCCGACTGGTCAATGTCCAGTATGAGTTCAGTGACGCGTACATGGAGTGCGTCAGCAGACACATGGAGCAGCTCAAACCCTTCGGTGATGTTCCACGCAAGCTCCGCCTGCAGTTGACTCGTTCCTTCATCGCTGTCCGCACGTTCACCCGCGGCCTGGCACTCATGCCCGATGTGGTGGGCAAAGTCTCCACGGTGAGAAGCATGCGTTTGTTTTTTGTTTTTTTTGTTTTTTTTTGTTTTTTGGAGTTGCCCCTGCTAATGAATCTGTGCTGCTGTCATTAAATCTTTGGCACCACAGCAAAAGTAGTATTATTTCACTAGAGTTTGTGGTCTGATATTTTTTGAACAAAAGACTCTAATGTGCAGTTGTTGTAGTGAATTAAAAACATGACCAGTTGGTTTGATTTATAAAGTGAATTAAAATCTATAGCAATGAGATTTAATGTTTAATTTCAATTTATTTATTAGTAATTATAGTTGAGCTTGAGCTAAAGGAAAATGTTGCCTTGGCATCAAACTGAAAAAAGTTTCAACGTTTTTTTCATTTATTTTTTTATAACCATTTTATTTGTGCTTTATTTTTAATTGACAAAAATGTTTTTATTGTTTTTTTTGTTTTTTTTTTCCGTTTAGTATTAGTTAATGATGTAATATATAAATAAGGAAAATTAAAAAAGAATCAATTTGAATCTGTTTTAAACACTGGCCTGTTTAAGTTACAGCATTAGAAAATAGTTTATTTATTTATTTATTTAATAATAATGATGTTTGCAAAACTGACACACCCCAGTGAATTAGAATAAAATATATAACTATCAGAATCAAATCAAAAGTTTGTAAATCTGAATCTTAATTAATACCCAGCCCTAGCATTAACTTGTTGTTTAAGCGAGTCAGAGCTCAGGGACAACAGAGTTCAAAAGTACAGGTTTTCTGTTGGGTTTATCAGCATGTGAAGGTGGACACCTGGATGGACCCATCGGGCCTTATCTCCCAGCATTAAAAGATCAGAGGCCAAGGCTTCTCTGTGTGTGTGTAGTGAGCTAGCAGAAGCAATTGAACCTCCAATGACAAATGGAGTAAACACAAGTTCAGCTGCAGTGACCTTATAAACGGTGGTGGGGTCACTAATCACTGTTCAGTGGTTTAACAGACTCATTAACCATTTCCTCCGTTGTCTGTTTTTCTGACTGCTCAATAACAATCTTCTTGTTCAACTTGTCTCTCAGGTAAACGCCTCTCCGAACTGCGTGCGTGCAGCTATGAAGATGTTATACTGCCCGTACTGTACCGGCCAGGTGGCACTGAAGCCCTGCAAGAACTACTGTCTCAACGTCATGCGAGGCTGCCTGGCCAATCAGGCTGATCTGGACACAGAGTGGAATAACTTCCTGGGTAAGAGAGTTTTAAGGGACTCAAGTAATTGATTGATTACTGAACCATTACTAGATGTAATGGAGCCAGTTTTCCAAACTAAGCAGCAGAGGAGTATAATAAGCACAGATTTAAAATGAGCAGGTCACATTAAAATGGTTTCCTCTTGTTCACTTGCTCTTGCTCTCTTGAATTAGGAGTGAAAGCTGAGGAGCAGCTCTGTTTTTATCCTTGCATCTGTTTCATGAAGTGTTTTGGGCCTCTTGTGGCTCTGAAGGCCGTGTGGTCCCAGGTCCCATTCTCATGTGCTCTCGCAAAGTGTTACTGGCTTGCGGGACTTTGGGACTGGCTTTGCTCACTTTGCCTGTCAGCTTTTGAGAGAACCTTAATTGGGGCGCCTTTTTCAGGCCTCTGTCTGTTTTACAAGCTGTTCATGAACTTAGCCTGGACCGATGACTGTATGCTGCCCTCTTGTGGTGGAAATAACTTATTTTTTGTGCACTGGTTTTTGAAAATGTTGTATTGAAATAGATTGTTTTGTGGGTGTTCCTCTCAGTAATGCATTTATTTTCTATTTTAGATTCCATGTTGGGTCTCGCTGAGAGGCTAGAGGGACCTTTTAACTTTGAGTCTGTCATGGACCCCATAGACGTCAAGATTTCCGACGCCATCATGAACATGCAGGAGAACAGCATACAGGTCTCACAGAAGGTGTGGTTTTTAATTTCTTTTCAAAATGACATGTACATACACTGAACAAAATTATAAATGCAACACAGACTGCTTATGGTAGAGAAATGAACATTCAATTCCCGGGAATTCCTGCAGTCAACTTGCGACATCTTTGGCATTGCGGAATGTGATAAAACGCCACATTTTAGAGTGGCCTTTTATTGTGGCCAGCCTAAGGCACATTTGTGCAATAATCATGCTGGCTAAATCATGCAGCATCTTGATATCCCACACCTGTGAGGTGGATGGATTATCTCGGCAAAAGAGAAGTACTCTTTCAGATTTGTGAACAATATTTGAGAGAAATAGGCCTTTTGTGTACATAGATGAAGTCTTAGATCTTTTTTAGTTCAGCTCATGAAAAATGGGGGCAAAAACTGTTTATAATTTTGTTCTGTGTGTGTATATGTGTATATATATATACACATATATGCACACATACACATATACATAAACGTATACACACAGTAGTCAATATTTAAAGTGGATCAAAACCTTTCATCAAGAATTTTGAACAATAACCATACTTATCTTAGGACAACTATATATATATGTATGTATGTATGTATGTATATATATATATATATATATATATATATATATATATGTGTGTGTGTGTGTGTGTGTGTGTGTGTATATGATTTATATATATATATTATGTTTCAGGTGTTTCAGGGTTGTGGGCAGCCCAAACTCAGCAGTTTCCGCACTCGTCGCTCTTCTAAAGACTCAGGCTTCCCTGGCCGTTTCCGACCCTACAGCCCTGAGGCCAGACCCACCACTGCCGCTGGCACCAGCCTGGACCGACTGGTGAGGATAAGAGTTTCCATTATTACCACACATAACCCTTCCAGACACTTTCTTTAAAAACATGTTGATTGAATCTACCAGATCTGAATGGAACATTTGTAACAAACGTGTTGTTTCCTTTAGTTGACCGATGTCAAGAAGAAACTGAAGCACGCCAAGAAGTTCTGGTCCACCCTGCCGGACACGGTGTGTGTTGGTGACCGGATTTCCACCGGTGATGAATGCTGGAATGGGACAGCCAAAAGCAGGTGGGGTTTTTTTTTTTTTTTTTTTTTTTTTTTTCTGGATCTATGAATTTAGGAAAGGTTTAGGGTTGATTAAGTTACTTTACTTAATTAATAACTCAAATTTAAATAATAAAAAAAATTGCCATGGAAAAGCTATATAAAAACATTTTTGAAAATAAAATGTGAACACTTGTGGGGTAAGAATAAAATATGGTATTACTTTCACTTGTTAAACTACATAACTTTTTAAAAAAAAAAAAAATAATTACATTGAAACATTCATTTCTTTTACCATGAAAAATGTAAAAAAAAAAAAAAAAGGTTTTGGTCCCACTTTATATCATCTTTCTTCTGGTTTCACAGACAAGGCTAAAGCTTGTTTTGTCTCAGGATTCACACCAGTGATGTTTTTTTCTAAGGTACATTTATAAAAGCTACTTAAATGTCCTTATGGTGCGTTATATTATAGCCAACGAACCGACTCGGACCTTGGATGTGATGTCATGTCCACACTTAAGCGTTCTATTATGTTTTGCGCGTCCGAGTCGGAGAAAAAAATGGACGGCAAATGGACGAAATTGTGATTTAGCGCTTACATTAAAAAAAATATTATGACTACACCTTATCAAAACGCAACCATTTGAACTTGAAAATGTTCACTTTATTTAATGTTAATCTTCTTTTAGCAACACTTGCAACATTAGTAATTGCACTCACAACAACTGATTCCCATACCTACAGGGGACTCAGTAATACAAGTGATTATAATTGTCATTTAAAAAAAAAAAAAAACAAAGGTTCAAAAACAATTCATACTTACAAGTCACACAGCCATCTTCAATTCCGAAACGGAATTCTTGCTCGGTGTCCTCGCGGTTGTCCGACGTCCGAAAGGTAAAAATCCGAGGAAAGGGGGCGTGTTGCTAGGCAACGTCTGTCTTCCGATTTGGATCTCCGAGACGGATAAATAATAGAATGCACCGTTACTACTAGGCACTAACGAGTAAGTAAGGTTGTTCAATTCAAATCAAATGTATTTGTATAGCGCTTTTTACAATACATATTGTTTCAAAGCAGCTTTACAGAAAGTGCATTTCAAAAATGTACATGGAAAAATACATTTAGTTAATCATGTAATAATTTAGTGCATAACATATCGCCGGTGTTGAGTCGTCACTTCGCAGGTGTTGGGGCATCTGAAGTCTCCGTGAGAGGCTGGATAGAAACTGGAGCTGACGAACGCCATTTTCCTCAGCAGAAAAGCAAATGGGAAATAATTAGCATAGCTGCTGTTCATAATGATTTCCATTACACGAGAGTAGATGTTAAAAACTTGAAGACAGTGACTCTGGCGTCCCAGACTCACCCCTCTATTGTGTGTACATTTAATGTTTTTATATTCTACTTGTACATTTGACAATACCTGCATGTAATTACAGCTGTAATTTATTTCTATAATTACACTGTTCACCCTTCTTTTTACACCTCAACTCACCCTGAAACCCACCCGGCCCCACCTCAATAGCAGCAAATGTGTTTTGCAATACTATATACACAATAATACATTGTACCTAACATTTTTTTTATTTTTTTTTATCCAAGTGGTAGTTACAGACACCTAATATAAAGTGCGACCAAGTTTTTATAAAACCATGTGAAACTAACATTTCAAAGAGCTTTTTTACACCGTAAAGATCAATTGACATAAAAAAGAGTGAGGAAATCCATTGCCTTAGAATTAAGAAAATACAATTGATGCGTAATTGAAAAAATGAAGTTATGTGGAAATGTGGAATACACATAATTTAATTTGATCAATGACACATTAAGTTTATTTACTTAATAAATTTAAGGTAATGGGTTTCCTCTTTTTTATTTTTTATTATTAAATGAAGTCAATTGAACTCTTTTTACAGTGTTAAGACACTCTTAATGGTCATTGGACCAGATACAGAAAAATGACTTCACACTCAAACTGCAACATTTGACAGCCCACTCAACTGTTCCTCCTTTTCCTCTTGTGCAGGTACGAATCCATCGTCATGGGTAACGGCTTAGCCAATCAGGTGTCTAATCCTGATGTGGAAGTTGACATCACCAAACCAGACATGGTGATTCGGCGGCAAATAGCAGTGCTGAAGGAAATGACCAGCTGGCTTAAAGCTGCTTACACGGGCACTGACATCTCATTTGTCAATGGTACGAGGCATCGGCTTCTGCACGTTACTTCATTTGAGCCACAATGGCTGTGGTTAAATTTATATCATGCCATCATCCAAGCCTCGCTTTTAACGTTTATCTGTCTTTCAGAGGATGCCGGCAGCGGAGAGGAAAGCGGAAGTGGCTGCGACTCGCCCTCTTGTGACGGTGACAACGACATCTACTTCTCCACCCCAGTGCCCGTTAAACCTGGCATCAAGCTTAATGCTGGAACCCAGCCCTCTAGCGGTACACGGTTGGCACCCTGCAGTCTGGCACTGGCAGTGGCAGCGCTCCTGCTCGCCCTACTCACCCTTCACACGAGATAAGACCAGCTGAGCAGAGGATGTGTGTTTGTACGAATTTGAACAAGAGAGCAGAAAACTGCCATAGGACTTTAAAGACACTGCTTTCAGGATCTCCGTCTGCCTGCCATCGGGGGAAGACGCTCAAGTTATTAATATTCAAATAACTTCCCTTCAGTGTATTTTTTTTGTGTGTGTGTGTGTGTGTTCATAAGAACGGACTTCATAGGTTTCCACTCAGCATTTCACGTCAGCTGGGTTTTATTCCTCCATGTCTGTAAAGTCCAGAATCGTCAACCCGGTTATGGTTTAAATAAGTGCCGTGTTTGTTTTGAAAGTAGATCAGACTGAGTGTGTGTTTGGGTTGGATGGTGTGTACGATTGGCTGTATACATCATCCAAGTGCTTTCTCTAAAGCTAAACAATTAATCAACCCTTATAACACACGTGTGATTTAAGCAAGTCTGTATGAAGTGCTCATTAGACTGACTTTTAAATCATTTTTGAGCGTGTCTTGATGTGCATGGTGGCTTCGGTTAGATGCAGATCATGTATGTTCCCTGAATGTTATTGAGGTCGATAAATAATGAATGATGCCTTAAATAGTTTATAAACAAGCCCTTTATTAGGGCTTATTTATAATATATAAAATGCTGCCTTATGAAATCAACAGTACAGTATCCCAGACAAAGCAGTTATTCTGAAACAACTTTCATAGCCCCCATCTCATCATCCCAAATACTTCGGTAATAACTTAATATGATGAAGGAGCTTTGGTTAGGTAAGGTCTGTGTGGAAGTTGATTCATTGATGAAAAGGCTTTGATGGTTCCATCAACGATGATGATCATATGTGTTTCCTGCATGATACAGACTTTGTGGCCTGAGTAAAATAGTTTTTTACTCGATGTTTAGTTCTGAACTTACAGCAGGACCAGCTGGAGATGCATGTATGCTGAAGATGGCTTAAGACTGAGCTATGGATGAATTTTACACAGGATTTCAGTGTATTGTTAGGTATAAAACTATAATATAGGTACTGCGGATTTCACTGGACAGACAGCCGGTGCTGATTTGAGAGGTCGGGTGGCCCTCTCTTTTTCTTTTTTTTTGTTTGTAAACAAAAATGTCCTTTTTTTCCATTCCCGATTTATATCCATAGAAGTCGGTACGGTATTTTAAAACCATTCCTCATGTAAAGCAATACAGACTGTGTGCGTGTGTGGTACGATCCAACACCAGTTGACAGGTTTTTTTTTTTTTTCATTCAGATGTCTGACAAGTGCTTGTTTGTTGGTTTAAAAGAAAGAGGTTTTTGTTTTTTTCTCCCCTCGCTCTTGTACAGTAAGTTATTTAACCACGTGTCTCTTTGAAAGGCATTCGCAAGCATCGCTTTTCTAGGTATCTTAATTTCAGTATTCAAAATATTTATGTCTGTAGATGAATGCATTCTAATGATTTCACACTTTGATGGTTTTATATTGGCTTTAAATTTCATAATACATCATATTTAGATTTTGTAAACCGAGCTACCGTAAGCGTTTGTTTTGTCATAGTTTTATGTAAGGGGATTGTGAAAATTGTACAAGCTGATGCAAGGACAGGGCTGGCCATCAGTCCTTGATCATTCCTGATGTCACATGCACTTTTAATTGGCATTCAGATACCTCACAGCAAGAGAGTTTTAAATGATGCTTTTAATCATATCTGCAGCATGCATATGTGCTTTTCAACTTTTACGTTTGTTTTTATTCATTCATTTGGAGATTCATTCAGTATGTATGGATGAATGGCCAGTCCTCGGACATGAACGGAATCTTGTCAGGGTTTCAGGAGCCTGAAACGAGTAAATATCTCCACAGCAGTAATGTAATGCAACGCACCTCAGATTGGATATGTATTTTTTTTTTCTAGGCTGATGTGCTGCCACGAATGGGAAGCAATATGTGCTTTCTATACTTCCTTATGACCTAAAGCTTCCCACTGTCACATGTTAAGATGGCTCTGATGTGTAAAGACCAGGAAAGGAAGTGCTTAGTATGACGAGCTACTCCGAGTCGGTGTGAAGATGACATGGACTCTTAAATGAACCTCTGCAATGTCATCTTTAGTTTGAATGCTGAACTTCAGGTGGACAGATTGCAGGGCTTGCAGCCCTGTATATCAATGGAGTCATCTGTGATGATGAGTCAGAGAGACTGAAGAAAGAAAGGAAAAAAAAATTGTAAATAATGAGCAGTCGTTTTAGTGGTCTCTGAGAGATGTTCATCAGATTTTACCCATTCAGAGTCCGAGCTTAATATGGGCAAAACAAAGAGATAGATGCTAAAAAATGTAAGAGAAAAGTTATATTAAACATTTCTTAGTCTTGTTGAAATAAAGACTGCAGATATTTAAATGTGTTGTGTGTCATTTCGGCTCTTGCCGCCAGTATTATTAGCATTTAGCACTACTGAATTGCATGATTGCTTTGAAAATCTCTTTGAGGGACCCATTCATTAAAACAAAGGATGACTTGAAACAATCATGAACATTGATTAATCAAAACCATTAATTAAGCTGAAGTGTTAAATC